ATCGCCGGCTTTCCTGGGCCTGGCTGGGCCCCTGCCTGCTCACGGGAAACAACGAATGAATTCCTTGCTTTGCTTTGCTTGCGTGCGCAGCTTTTGCTTTCCCTATTAAACTGTCTTTATCTCAACCCAGGAGTTTTCTCACTTTTACCGTTCCGATTCTCTCCCCCATCCCACCAGGTAGGAGTGAGTGAGCGGCTGCGTGGGGCTTAGTTGCTGGCTGGGGTTAAACCACAACACAGCAAGAAAGAAAAATTGGAAAGATGAGCTGCCTTTGAGTTTGTTTCTTTTTCAGCTTATAAACTGTTAAGACAGAATGGCATAAAAAAAGTTTGTTGAAACAGCATATAGTTGTAATGGCATATACACTATAAAAAAATCAAACAAACCAGGAATGGTTATATACTGCATGGGGATTGTTATTATAAGTGAATACATAGGACAAGAAATATCCATTAGAAAACTCACATACTCAGAAGTGTGGACCAGATGATAAAACACAGCTATGATAAACCCACTTCACGCTGTTGTTTAAGAAGATAAAAAGCCTCTTGCTACTTGCTACCACTGCAGCTATTCTCTCCCCCAACCCCAAATATTATTTATACTAGAATAATTTGTATTATTGTTTTCCCTTACTGAGGACTGTTTTTCTACAAGTGGACATAGTAAAATTACTTCTGTTTTTACAGAAGAAGCTAGAAAGCAGATTGGAGTGCTCAAAAAGTATTGGTTTGCTTTATATAATCAGCACAGACTTTCTTGTCTTGACAATTGCTTTCCCTCTTGTCATAAATTACTATAAACAATCTGGAAGGCCACAGGTCAATAAAATCTAGGTATGTTGTCAGAAAGGCAACTTCCTCAATTTAGGTGTCTGATGATTAGCAAATCTCAAGCTAAACTCTGCACTTTTCACCACCAAGTTAAAGAGATTTAGTATCTATCTTAAGTGAACATTATACCTCAGCAAATACCATAGTGAATCTGAATTGACCAATTGTCTGGTAAGCGCGAGCTTAATTATGTCCTACATCAGAGGCCCATTCACATTGTTTACACCCAAACTGTACGTTAACCTTCGTTTTAAAAACCTCCATTACTGTTTTGATGAAAATAATATCCTTATATGACCATAGTTCTCGATCAAATTCTGGTACTGTTGCACCAGCCTACTATGTACATGCTTAGTCAAACTACCCTAACAGAAGGCAGCGACCTTGCTGGCACTGGAAACATCAACCGTTATGGTAAAAAAAAAAAAAGGGTAGTTTTAGTTACTTTTTATAAAAGCTCTTAATATGCTTTTTTGGGAGGTGCTCAAACTGCTTTTCCTGAAGTCACCTTTAACAAACTATTCTGTGTGTTTTAACAAACAGAATTGAGAAGCACTTCCTGGTAAAAGACTCTACCAAGCAATTAGTAGCTTTTATGGAAGCTAGATGAAGAGAAGAATCTAAAGCATTTAGCAATTGCAAAGACCTTTATTGTCTGTACACTCTAAGGTCATGATCATTATTCCTATTATATCAGAGGACAGAAGGCAATTCAACAATTACAAGATTAAAAAAAGAAAAAGACATTGTTTCCCTGCCTTATGAGAGCCTGAAAATTCTGTGGTGCTGCCTTTTTGGACGTTCCAGTGACATAACATCGGGAGCTTGATTCAAAAACTGAATAATTGTTCAAGGGCAAGAACATAAAATGGGTAATTGTTCAAGGGAATGGTGTGTGGGGAATGTGAGTGATGTGATTAGACATGGTGTCAATACGGATTTCAGGGTTGTTGGTGAGTGTAATGTTTGATTTTTCTGTGGTGTAATTGACTGAAATCTTTCTCGTCATATAATTAAATCATTATTTTATCGTGGAAGCTGTTTCATCACATTAAGAAATGGACAGGCTACAAAAATATGAAGGATGATATAGCTTCGGTAACACAGTTAAAGCTTTGTATTCCGTGTGGAAAAAGGCTTAAAGGTTGTAAACACCACGCCCGGGGACAAACCTTTAGCTGTAGATTCTGATTCTGAAATTTGTTCTGTTTTTTCTTCACCGTTAGACTCATCCACTTCTGCTACTGTAGTTAACTCCGGTTCACTCTTATAAAGCCTATAATCAGGACCCTGAGGAACAACAAGTTATGAGGTAAATAAACAGGCATTTTTGTACAAGCATTTATGTCTTAAGACTCAAAACAGTTGTTTTGTGATGACTCTGCTCTCACTTTGAGACAATGTTTCATTGTTCAAGTGCTATTGCAGCAGTATTTCTTTGTAGTTAATTACAGTAACAACATTTGCAGACTTTCAGAAATTACAGAAAAAAACATGCCATAAAAATGTGGACATTTTTTTTTCTTTAAAAAAAATCTTCAGGAAAAAATTTGTGTAAGACTTCAGCAAAAACTGATTCTGAGCCTAGAGTTTTTTAAGAACTTGTGAGTAGAAGAATTTAATTTTCTAAAATTTACTCAGGTACAGGCATTTAAGTCTTAAGACATTTTATATATGCACAGAATATATGACAGGAAAACGTGAAGAGCAAATGATGGAGCTATAAATAAAACTAAGTAGCCAAAAGTGAAAACATAACACAAAAGTAGCCAGATGACAAAATAAAAATTGTGACTGTGCAAAGGAAGGGGGATGCTTCAAGAGCAGTGTGGCAGTTTAAGCCACTTACACAGTAAGATCCATTTCTCTGGTATCCTTGAACGTGGTGAATCTTCTTTTCTTCTGGCAGATGTACTGGGCCCCTGCTATAACAGAGCAAGGAGCTGCTATCACTGGGCAGAGGGGGGATTATGGGAGGATGCTCTGTAAAGTCATAGGACCGAGGGAGTGGAGGACGAGGTGGGACTACTTCCTCTTCCTAAAGATTGTAGAATAGTCACCTTATTTAGATGTGCACACCTGTTACAATTATTTATAACTTAAAAAGAAAAATATATTACCATAGCTACACCAGCTACAGAATTTGGAATTAAAGGGACAATGTCATTCAGGGGGAAAAAAAAAAGGGCCAAGACAGGTTTATTTCCTTTGGGGTTTTATTTGTTCTTTTGCTTGCTTTTTATTTTATTACTACCACCTAGACTGAGATACTTTTCATTATTCAGCTTATCAAGATTTCAATTCTAATACCTGCACTTCCTGTTGGACATGTATGAACTCTCTGAATCATCCTTTTAAAATTAAATTCAACTATCTTTTTAAAGATTTGTATATAAATTAGACTTTTAGAAAGTTCTGTAAGCCAGTTTTATATTGCATAAACTTTAGACAACCATGACAGTGTCCCTTTAAAACTGTAACTTCTAGCCAGATTTTCAGAGGAATTGCACATTTGGGAGCTCCCACAGTTTCAGCTGTTCTTGTGGGCGCTCTGGCCATCTGAGAACCAGGCTCGATATGCAAATAGACACATAAAGCAATGTATTTCTTCCCATGAAAAGCGTGGTGGGTAGAAAACAAATCCATAAATCAGGGTTTATATTTCTAGGGTAAGAGCCTAGGGAGAGGAAAAGGTGAGAAATGGAAAAGAGAAACATACCAGTGAGAATATAAAGACACAAAACAAATGATAGTGTTAGAATTACTAGTGGAGATATTGCTCTTTGAAACTAATTCGTAATGCAATATTTTCACAGAAACATACTGAATGCATACTTCAGACATCCTTAAAACAATTACAAAAATGCTCATTTTTATTGTATGCATATTAGAAATTCTGTGATGCTAAAACGGTAAATATGGTAAAACCATACCTCATTTTTATATTTAATAGCTGAAAATGTCCTTGATCCCATGATGCCTGTTTGGCGGGAGGAGGAAGGGCATAGAAAGAAAGAGAAAAATTGTTTTAAATAAATAGCTTTTAAAATATCTACTATAGCCTGTTGCTATCAAACAAATACACAAAGCATCAACTTAAAATAGATGATTGCTTTCTTCTTTTCTCAGCAACTGTACCATTTTTTCAAAAATACAAAAGCAACTATGGCGCTTATCCTTTAAAAACTTATATGATCCAGTCTCACCTCCTACAAGGTAAAAACAATCAGTTTACCTGCCTCTGAAGAGCTTCTTTGCTGTTTATGTTTACTTAAACCCTCCATGACATCTTGAATTCTCCACAGTTCCTTCTGAATCTGAGCACGCTGTATCCCTGCTGACTCAGTCTGCCAGTAAATAAACAGCATATATGGGCGATAAACTAGAATACATTGCAGGCAGAAAAAACCCAGAAAACCTTTTTCTTCTTTAGACTACACTGCATGTCCTTTCCCAATGAAGGAAAATAAAATGCAGTGATGAGACACTCTCCTTTCCCTTAAAAATGCAACATCCAAACATTGTCAGAAACAGAAAGTATAAGGTTAAGTAATTTCACAATGTGTCAGCTAATTTGACAGCAATTTGCTAGTTCAATCTCCACTTCAGAATAGAACTGTATCTACTGCCTCCAAACTTTGCACAGGAGACCTACACATAACGGAAGAAAAGGAATCATCAGTTCCAACCCTCAAATAGGTGGAGATGAACATGTTGTTTGCATGCCAGCATATAAACTGTGGGCCTATTTGCATTCATGGCCATGCATGCTTTGGACTACGTAACACAAATTTCTCAGCTCTTGGGCTTCCTTGTAATCTCCCTTTCATAGCTGCATAGAAAATCAATCCCTGGAGCAAACAGCCTTTAATGCCTCCCAGCATGGACCACACCCATCTGCCTATTCCAGCTAATGTATGCACATCTCTGTGTGTGCGTGTGTCTGTCTGTCTCTTACAGAAGGATCTCCTTAGAAATTCAGAACTTATACGAACTGTCCAATCCTCCACAGCACAGTGAGTCTGAACTCTTCATATGTAAGACCTGAAGCAATGCTTAGAATATTTTTTTGTTATAATTTATTTTGACAGAATGATTCAATTACATTTTAAAATATTCAGTTAAATGGAAGGGTTTGTGTGAAGATTTACTATGATTGTCATGGCAATTAAGGTCTGAGAAAACTACCCCACTTTGGACACCAGCACTGAAGCAGAAAGAGGAGCCTTTCTGACACAGGAAAACTAGCATTATAGCTTCAAAAAAATAGGAAAAGCTGAAGATCTCCTCAGAGCTAACAAAATTTTAATTTCTTTTTATACCTTGTAAGTTAATGCACCACACATCCCCCTATTTTCATTTGTGTAATTTTCAAACAAAATCATAGAAAAAGAAAGTGACATAAATGTACTTTAAGACCTATGCCACACCTGAATTTCTCCAAGCCGATCAAGTTGCTCTTGCATATGGTTCCTTGTTATGGTTACATCATACTCCAATTTATCATATTCTCTCCAAGCTCTTTCCAATTCCTAAGTATTTAACAAAAGTAAAGATTTACAGATGCACATTCAAGTTAAAAAAAGGTATATTTATTTTTCTTTATTCAAAGGCATGAAACCTTAGGAAATAATGCATAAATAGATGTCAGCAATAAATACGCATTTTAGAGAATGCAATGTTTAAACAGATTTTTGGTTTCCTAATGATACTGTATGGAATTCAAACAAACAGCATTTTGTCTTTTCACAAACAAAAAAGATAGGCAAGGGCAAAATCTTCCGAGTATGTCCTTATAGTCAGCAGGCATGTGGGTCTTAAGCTCTCCTTCCACTGAGGCAGAAAACCCACAAAAATGGATGCAAATTTGTCTCTTTTATCACATAGAATACACATGTATGAGTGCACAGCATGTGTGTGTATATGCAGCCTATTATGCGAGACAAATGTAAGTCACCCAACCTGGCCTGTAAGTATACCAGGAAATGCCCCAGGCCTCCTAATACACCATTATTTTACATATGTGAAAGTACAAACGCCAGAAGGAAGAAGGCGCAAAAAGAAAATCTTCCTTGAGGTCAGCTCTATCATCTCACTTTTTAAGCCTACATCAAGCAATTGACTCAATTTAGCATAAATTAAAAAGTTAATGGGGGAGAGTATATCTTGAGGATTTCCTTTCCCCTGATTCCCTTTTGCTTGTCCAACCAATTCCTTTTAAAACATAGTCTAACGTTCAGACTAAAACCAGTATTTCAGGGCCTACCTCGTATCAATTTCACCACAGCAAACCACTGGAATTTGACACTGAAATACCTTTGTGGATATATGTGTAAGGAGGCAAAAATGATTCTCTACCTTGTCATTTCAGTGTAGAAGCCATCATGAAGTGGAAAAAGAGAGTAAACCGTAATTCCCTTCCTTTGGGGTTTTTTTGTGTGTTTGGTTTTTTTGTTTGTTTTTGGTTTGGGTTTTTTTTTTTGGTTTTTGCTGTTTTTTTAAGGTTTTTGAAAGCATAACTTGAAAGATCTTTTAAATATAATGGCCCACTATTAAGAGAGACCATGATAGTATAGTATTTTCTTCTTTTCATCCTGCAGTTGCTTTTGCTTAAGATAAGTCACGTATTTGATCGAATATCTGATAAAATTTGTGCTTGCTACTACTATGCCATCACACAAAATAGCTTATTTGCATTATTTACTACTTCTCTAATCAAATTTTCATATTATAAAGATGAAAATTACTACACCAATTAAATTCAATATGCACTCATTCCTGCCTCCCCCCGCCCCCCAAAAAAGGAAAGACAGACAACTCGATGAATATAGTGAAAAGATCACCTTCCAGCTGCCTTTAACAAAAACACAAGCAAGCAAAAGACAATTGAGTTTTGCTGGAACGTAATGAAAAGTAACCAGAGACAACCCAGTTAAGAATATGAACATGAAGGTAAGCGTTTAACACTTCACTGATTTTTACTGGCAAGAATGTATTACTTACCGCCGTAGCTCGCGATACTTCTCGACAAGTGCTAAGGAGTCCGTTCTGCAAGTCATCTCTCTGTAAGACTACATTTTGAATGGCTGCGGGATTATCTGCATTCATTTCTATCTCCTGACTTGCTGATAGCAAAGCTTGCTCAAGCGTGTACTATTATAATAAAAAGAATTATTTTTAATGTTCTGCATCATTGGGCTGATTTTCATTTTATTTCTGTTACCAATGTTCTGATAATAAGCATGTAAAATAACATCCACTTTAAGTAATAAATACAATTGTCCTACTTTCTCCTTGTGTAGCTGTTGAAGCTTCTCTTCCAGTGCTTGTACAGCTTTATCTTGTTCACATAAACGGCTAAGCTTAGCCTAGTGATAACAGAAAATGATAGTAATTAGGATTTCATTTTTAACATCTTCAGCAATCAAAATATAACTTGATCAAATAATTACAGGAATCTATATAAAATTTTATTACCGCAAAATATGAATTCTAGAGATCTGAAGGCATCAGTGTTGTACTTTCAAATTAACCTTAAGAAACCCTCTTAAGATACCACAAAATAAGTGTTATTATAACTTGAAACAGCATGGCTCAAAACATGTAATTTATGTTTCTACAGCTAAATCTTTACAACTTAATAATAGGTATTAAATACCATTTTAATTTACATATTCCTCAGTATTATAAAGATTATCACATACATTCACAGTCTCTCCCATGGTTTATTTCAGGTTTTTAATAGTTACTATCCATGTTCTGCTCTGTTTTACCTCCAATCGAGGCTTGGCTATGACTAAAACTGTTCCACTCCAGCTCCAGTTGGAGCAAATAACTGTTCAGCACACTCTAACCACTCTGAGCCAGTTTACTTTTCTGGTTTTTGGGTAATTTAGTGCTCCTCTTTTTAATTTTAAGATAACACTGGAAGCCTGGTTTCTTTTTTACTCTTAAAATAACACCCCCTAAATCAGTATCTCTACTCACAGTTGCACTGTGCAGGACATATACAGTATGTGTGTATTTTTCAGCACCAATTTTAAAACTTACTTTAAACACCAAGCCCCTTTTCTTTAGTAACTAGCCACTGAATGGTAACTACCTATGCCAAATTTCAGTTTTAGAATATTGGTCATATTTCCTGAGAAACTACATCTCTCATGCTTATAACTCAACTAGAACTACAGAGTGTTTCCCTTCTAAAGTAATTAATTCTCTTCTAGAAGCAATTCACCTTTGAACAGATTTCACTTGAAATTTCAGCCTAACGTGTAATACTTCCTTCAAGTTAGAAGTTTATTACAAAAAGAATCTTATACCCCTCAATTTCACAAAGCAGTTTCTTTGGTAATCACCTACATGGACTGCGTTTCAAACCCAGAAGTCAAAGGGGAAATTATTATCAAAATAAAGAGACAAATACCAACATTTCCAAGGAAGAAGAAATACAAAGGACTTACATCGATATCCAGCTCTTCAGTTCTATATTTGTATAGTGTACCCCTACATTCTTCTTGTGTTAACTATAAGGAAGAATAATATTGCCATAAAACAACTTAATTGGGACTATGAAAATGAAACTACTCTTCAGCTGAAGAGTTTTAATACAGAAATCAGCTTTTGCTTGAAAGTCAAATATACCACATTGAACAATATATTTTTTGCCAATATATGTTAATGAAGATAAGTAAATGGAATGTCAAGCAGACTGTCAGTAGCAAGTTGCATTAGTTGAACAGGCCATGTTTCTAATGCAAACTGGATTTTTAAAATGTACAATTAACTCAATCAAACATGGATTATGTAGGAAGATGAAACTGCCAGAGTACTCCTAGACACAGTTATGCATCATCATGTACATTTTCTTATGTGCATTCTAAATAAAGGGACTCATTCTACTTGGAATTAACCATTCATTCTAGGCCCACTAAAGTCAAGTGTACTCATAAGGAGGATATGCTGGTACATATCCGAAATCAGAACAGAATGGCCTAAGTATACCAAATACGTGTAAAATAGCTCATTACAGACATATGCCCAATAAGTGCCGCCAAACACCTTTCTGCCTACTTTTTCATATGGATTCCCTCCCCTCCAAGAGAGTATTACCAGAAATGTCGTAAATGCAAGCCCTTCTATTTTGTCTTTGGACCTCGGCAAACCTGTCTCCTCATGCGGGCCAGCATGTAAGGTATCCTCAAAACTACTTTCATACAGCTCCTTACATTAAGTTCTTAACTCTTTCAGTCTCTGAACTGACCAGTAACAAGATTTAAAAACATTCTGTATGAAGAAAGGTAGCTCCCCATTTCAGAATGGGCTGTCACGTACAGTAACTACTTAATGTCCTATACAGCAAGAATTGGCATAACCCTAGCAACCTTCCTACTCTTATTTAATTAAAAACACATGTGCATTGAGTCCCAACATAGATGCTTTCCTTTCAAGTATCTGTCATAATTAGGTCATCGTGACTTAATAGTGCAAGAAAGACTATAAAAACACAAGTCCATGTTAAAGGACAGTTATAAATAAAAGGACTAGGGAAGGGTTAATCAGACAAGCATTCCAAACATACAATAAATCTTCAACACACTTAAGTGTTTCATTTCAAGACATTATGTCCACATACCTCATGCAAATGCACCTGGTGACAATTTAAAAGTGTGTATTAAAACCACACAGCAACTTTCTTTGAAATGGGCATTTTATGAAAATGAGTGTTGGAATATGAAAAAAGCCACAGCACTTTTGCACCTCATGAATGTCACAAAAATTAAGATATCTATTTAAAGTCCTACTGTTGTAGAGTTGTGGTTTTTAACTGCTGATTTTATCACAATGAGAGAAAAGTGAGGAATGGAAATATTTAAAAAAAACTCATAAACATGGCCAAATGTCTTTAACTTACAGAGAAAACCTAGTTATATTTCACCACAGAAAGATTTTACAAGAGAAAGATTATTCCCTATTAAGTAAATACATCTTCCCAAGACACTGCACAGCATTTTATATGGCTTGCCTGGAAAAATCTAATGTAATTTTTTTATAAGAGACACACTCCTTTTTTTTTGGCATTACAACCTTAATTATAGCCAAGTTTAAAACAGCTTCCCAATTCAGCATCCTTATCCTTGCCTACCTCCTAAAAGGAATATATTTTAAGTATTCAGAAACCAAAACCACATTTTCAAAAAACACTATACATGTGCTAATTCTTCTTATTAAAATTCTATCACACTTTTAAAAACTTCTTGCTTTTGTCAGCAGTACTGGTTTCCCACAATAGGCACTGCTAGATATCCACTTCATTTCAACATTTCTACTGCAACATTTTACATTTAATGCAAAAACTCTAAAAATTGTATGAAACACTTAATCCATCTCTGGCAAAACAGCACCTCCTTCTTCCCACAGTGCATCAATAAATCGGCTTAAGGCAAAAAGCGCAGAATGCTATTGCATCCTATTGGAATTACGAGAGGAACTGCAGTAGACAAAATGCAATTACACATTACAAGCAAGGTTAACAACCTCATAACCCTGGAAAATGCATTATAAGAGCTCCGACCATCAAGTTATCAAAATGTATTTTATGTCACGTTCACCAAACGCCTCTCTCACCAAACCGTTCCTACAAAAACTTTACCAGCAATTTCAGAGAAAGAGTGCCACCTACTGAACCACAGACAGGCCTTGCTGCTGACTTCTACACTTTTCCTCGACTGTTTGCCTACTCACATACAAAAAAAGTCCATTCCTCCTAACACGGTGAAATACACTGCACAGCTCCCAAACGTTAAGGAGCAGCGCCCTGAATACCTACAAACAGAACTTAGCATTTTTGAAAGGCAAACTGCACACACAGAGTTTGGCTGAACACGTATCTTGCATGTGAAAAGGTAAAGTGGCCTTAATTGAACCTCCACCTGATGTTAGAAATAACTTGTCATCTACTTTACAGTCCCAATGTACAGTCCCCATCTCTGTCAAACACCAGTAGCAGATGAATCACAGAAGTGGATAAATCCACCACAACGGACACAATATGCGATGTCCTTAGAGAGAAATTTCCTCCCAAACAAATGCAGATTAGGCAAATCTCTCTCTTGGGACAGGAGGGGGTAAACCTATTTAAGCAGTCAATATTAAAAAAAAAAAAATAATTAAGTGACAGTATTATTTCATTACCATATAAGCTATTTTTAGATTCTGCGAACCATTTTGACTCAATAAATACATGGGGGGAAATTTCACACCCTGAGAGAACACCGAACACCACTTAGGAAATTAAAACAGGACAATCTGGGACATTTTGTGGGGAGCACGAGGTTAAAGTCAGACTTCCAAGAGGCTCCCTTTTTCCTTTTTTTTTTTTTCTTTTTCTTTTTTGAAGTACTTCTTACTATCAGAAAGCAGGGCAAATGGGCATTTACCCCACAGTGAGCAAGATTCTCCTCTAATTTTGTATAATGTAAGATAACATTTCAAATACAAGTTGGAAATACAAGATTTTTAGCTCAAATACAATCATCTCATGTCATAATAAAACCTGAACAAATATTTCTATCTACATATCTCAAAATCTAACATGCATGACAGTTTAGATGTATGCAGCTGCTATAATTAATAATAATAATAATAATAATAATAATAATAATAATCTGCCATAAACAAGATCTCCCTATCCTTATAGGAGCAAAAATTCAAGGACTATTTTTATATCTTTTTAATGTATTAAGAACAACTATCCGAGCAAAGACCTGGATGTTAGCTTGATGCACTCAGATTTTTGTTTTTCCCCCTTTAGGGAAGTCACACACATAAGAGGAACTGAGGACAATTCTATTTTTTAAAATCAACGTATACTGCTTTAGAAAACAAGATTAAGACTCATCACTTAATATTAGAAAGAAACAAAAAACCCCAAGGTAGAAAAGGGTCCAAGCTGTAAAAGCCTCCATTTTTCTAGTTGGTACATATGGAATCATCACCCTGGCTTATACTTGGAAATTTACAGTACAGTCTGTAGAGCAGAGTGATGTAAGTCAAAGTGATTTAAATAACTGTGAAGATGTGACAAATCACAAACAAAAATGTCTTCTAAATAACACATTTGAAATAGTATATATTTTAGCTATTTTACTAAAGAACCGTTAATCATTACAAACAAACAGGAAGCAAGACGCCTTAATTTTTAATTAAAAACATGCTTTTCTTGCTTTCCTTTGCTTAACGCTAAATAAGCTCAGTCATAAAACTGAACTGAATAATCTGAATCAAAGAAAGATCCTTTTCTCTACCCGCGGGAATGGTTACAGTCATCAGAAACTAGTTTATCATCTTGACAACAAAACAGGTTTCAGTCGCTTACACAGAGGCTTCTCCCAATTGTTTACATTTCTTTAAAACTGCGGTGGGAAAGATGACTGGTAAAACAAATTGATTTTATTTGAATAAAAAATTATATGTTTTTTAAACTTTAAGTAAGTTGCCAGAATTTTAAACAGGTTAGTTTTGCATTATAGAAGTTTAGAAGACTATTTAGGCAGTGAATTTTTGAATGTATTTTTATCCTTTCCTGGAAGTCAGTTAATGCAGTATTTCGTACAGGAAACTTCATCTGTGAAAGCAGAAGGTCTTGCTATTCTCCAGTTTATGTAATACATGGGTGGTTCTGCACAAAGCCTGCCAACATGTCGCAAACACTCTGACCTGAAGAGACCACATCTCTAGTGACAAAAGGTTATTCAATCTTCATGACCTGTACGAGTCACTGTTTCTTTGATAAGAATGTCAAAAAAGGTGCTTATTCGGTGTCAAAGATGAAGCAGCAGGTATGTCTACAAGGTGGAGGCAGCGCTGTGTAGCGATAACTTAGCTGACAGCATAGCTTCAATCAGGACAGCACTCGGAAATGTATTGGTCTCCCTACATAAGTGGGCCAACTAGCCCAGGCACAGCGATGCCTCAAATGTGGCTATACTAATATCAGAAGCTGAGCTGGTCTACCCTGACACATCTGAAGCACCCCTGTTCATTACATGTATGTTGACTTATTTGTCTTACACACTCCAATACAGAAAATTGATTTGCTTTAGCAAAATAATAACAGCTAGTCTTTAAAAAAAAAAAAGAACCCCAAACAACAAACCAACAAGAACCAATTTCATTCAGGGCTTGAAGGCACCTTACTTCGCCCATTCTTCTCCCAAATAGTTCATTCAGGTTCCATGTTAAAGCTCCTATTTTGCACACAGGAGCACAAATTGGATACTCCTGAAATCAAAGTCACTCACAGCCCAACCTTTCTTTAGAAAGCTGATAGTTTTCTTGCAACTTTTCTTGATCACAAGCAAATCTACAACGTCAAGTTGACTTCTAAAAAATGAAACATGAAATTAAGCTGCAGCATTTTTTAGAAACGTGGCAAAGCATTAATCACTAATAAATGACCTTTTTACATGGCAGAACGTCTCCTTTTCTTCAAACTATGCAACCTTTATATGTAATTTTAGCTCAC